CCATTGAGGGCCAGTTTCACAAACACCGTGCGAATCGCCGTTGCTGCTGTCGCAGCAGAAGGAAGGGTTATCGGCCAGTAAGCCGGTAGTTGCGGTGTAGTGCAGTTTAACTCAGCTCGGCAGTGTGTGGGTTTTTCAAGTTGATGTTTTCATCACTGGCGTTCAAGGTGGTGCCATTTCGTTGCCACGTCGGCCAGGCCTTGCAGCAGCCGCAGAGAAGATTGGTGATTTCTTGGCGAATCATCACGTTGTAGATCAGGTAGACGGTGGGATTGACGGCGTTGTTGACGAAGAACATCGACGTGCATACGAAATAAACCCATTTCGAGGCAGCGATTCGCGGCAGCCACTGCCAGGTGACGAACGTCGCCAGAAACACTAACGACACGACGAAGAACTGCAGGAAAAGTCTCAGTTCTCGCTTGTTCGGTTGAGTTCTTCTGTTGGACGCCACCCCGGCGTACTGACGGGTAGACTTGTGGCTACGTCGAACCTTGACCAGTATAGCTCCGTAGCAAAGCACCATGGTCAGCACGCTGAGACTGTTGACGAGCACGTCGGCTAGGAAATACATCGAGTCATCTTTGCTGTAGATCGTAATCCACATACGGTGGTCGTAGACCATGTGGCAACACGGGAACAGGGACGGCACAGAAACCACTATGCCGACCGCGTAGCTCATCGCCACTATCACGTACGTGTTCGACGGACAGAATAGTCTTTTGTAGCTGGTCGGAAATATGATGCTAATGAATCGGTTAATGGCAACGACGCCCAGTTGAATCACCCCCGTGTACCAGACCACATCATATAGGAACATGAAAACGATGCTCCTCGTCTCGGACACTTCAACAAAGTTGTCATGCAAGGCGGAGGCTGGAATCACGTGCACCAGACATATCACTAGCATCAGAATATCGCAGAAAGCTAGACTGAGTACGAACCAGTACGAAACGGTGCGTCTCATGGTGCGGTTCCTGAACACGGCGAATACTGTTAATATGTTCAACAGTAGACCGTAAATGGCAGCCACAGTCCAGATGACAACCACAACCACGTCGTGCCACCATTCGTCTGGTGCATCCACTGAAATAGTATTGTTCAGCTGTTGCGATATGGCGATGGTAGTGTGATCTGACGGCATCACTGCGTCAAAATTCAGGCAATGTCACCACACACTTTCAGCAGAAGTTAACAGCGAGGAAAATTGTGTCAAATATGAGGTCGTCACCTGCGCGTCCAAACAGGAGCGAACGACTCTCGGGGCTAAAAGCAGAATGAGTGATTAAATGATGCAGTCATTTGCATACGGTAACAGTTGAAAATGTTGGTAAAAAAGTTTTCGCAAAAGTTTCAAATGCACGCCGAGTCATTCATTATTGATGAAAACAGCCAAATACACTTTATTAAGGTATGCGTCAATTCACCCAAAGTTATTAAATGATGCTGTCAGTAACAGACTCTTTTCAAACGCGAATTCTCTGCACTATACAAAGTAATTCCTTTAGAAAACTGAAAAAATAGAAACGTACTGTTATCGGTCATCGCGAACCACCGGATGACCAAAATCTGACAAAGTGCCTAACTTTTCTAAATTCGCTTGATTAAGTGAGGGTTGCGGAGATATCGGCTATGGTCAGCAAAGGCTAACGCCTGAACGGCTTGCGAACAACCAGTCCCAAAATCTGTGCCCGCTGCAGCATCATCCTTCCCTCTACTGTATACTGCTATATTGCTTTACTCTGAAAAACGACTAATGCATTGACGGGGACACATGCTATGACGCCCATCAGACGGTGTCATCTTCATTACGCTGCCCTCTGCCCCGATCGCTGGAGAATGCCGGTAAAGAAGCGGATAAAATGAGACCTGGAGGGACACTGTCAAAGACTACGTTTAAGCGGCTGGTGGTTTCTAGTTTTGCAGTGTAAGTCAAAAGAGGTGCAAGAAGAAGTGACTGAATTTAATGGCGGATATTGTGCTTGATGGACACAATTCAAGCATAGATCTGGGCCGTCGTTCAAGCCAGCTAAGCTGATGATACTCACAGCGGTAACAATAGACGCAGAAGCTCGAAAAGTAGAAAACCCAGATGATGGGCGCAAGCCATCGCATCGGTTTGAGCAACTCGATGAACCACTGTGCGATTGGTTTAAATTCTATGATCATATCACTTTAGCAACATTGGAGACAGATTGTAGGGAACCGCGAAAATTAGAATGATTTCAAAGTGCGCTTCTGCAGCACACAACAACGAGGATAAAATGAATGGATAACGAATCCAATTTTTAGGGTTGGGTTGGCCTTGAGCAGAAGGATCAGATATCAC